AAGAATGGCCTTCAAACCCAGCGGTTCTAGTACCTTCTGATAACTGGATAATGAATTCCTTCCCTTACTCCTATATTACCATGGCTAGCTGTTTGTTGAATTCGGTGTATACATTGTCCATGATATACACATTGTTGATTAAAATACATAATCTGGAGCTTTAAGGAGATTCAATAATCAAAAAAGGTCAAATACAAATAATATTACTCACCATGGAAAATAGTCACTTCGAATGCCCAAAGTTGCAGCTAGCAATATGTCAGTGATCCACGGGGTTAGTGTCCTCAATGGCTTCCGGTCAGATTCGTTTCCTGGAGAATTATTAGATTTCTTATCTGTGGAATCACTAGATGTTGCCTGATCAGATGTGCTGCTACATTCAGCTTCACTATGTTGGCGCTCAACTTTGAATATTGGCCTATTGTAGTGAGTCAAGACTCTAAGAATTTCTCCACAAGCCAAGGCCCACTGCTCTGAGTACTCTTGCTGCGTTGAAAATTGTTAATGAGAAACAGTATAGAATTGTGAAACTCAAAGTCAACACAAAGAAAACTGGAACTAACCACAATAGTAATGGCCTCACCTCAGAAGTATGGCTAAATAAGGAGATGAAGGAGCAGAATGGGGGACCATGCCTATCATAGCACAGCGTCCCATCTATGATGTGTGAAAGAATTGGATGTACAACTGCATGACCATGCTCCGGATGATGAAGAACAAAAGCTGTTGTACAATGCAAGTAAAAGCAATATGTCAAATTCTTTCTTGGATTTCCCAGGCAATTGTCCATAAGGAGTTTGTATTACCCAACACTTCATCTACCAAGCGACTTTCTTTTGATGCATGCATGGACAAACTTTTCCTTCAGTAGATGATGGCTTCAATTTCTCAAACATCTACACATGGAGAAGAATCATAAGTTTCTTACACTGTTTTGTGTACAGGCACCAAATTTCAGTAAAAAGAATACAGTATTTAGTCAATGCACTAGACAAACAAGTTCACGAAATTGCATATACTGAGCGCCTAGCTATACTCACCCATCTTCATGCCATCCTAGAATTTTCAAAATAGAAGCCATTGGTGCACGAAATAAAAGTGACTTGATGAGATAAAACATGAAAGGTGCCTGGGAATCTACATACTTTTTTTGGACTTATGGTAGAGTGCTATACTGTCATCAGGGCACTATAAGCGGAAACAAGTACATTTGTAAATAAGTAAGATCACCTTTGTCAAGAATCCATGACAAAAAACTGTATCAGGAACACTTAAACCTGCTGACATTAACATGGCTGGCCAATAAACAGCATGAAACCGTAATATGTCCTGAGACACACGCACAAAAAGTCATGTAGATATGTGCCTCTGCATCTCTGTTCATGCAGAAAGGTGGTCATGGTTGTTTGGTTAGCAACAAACATTGTTGTACAGGCAAATCATTGAGCACGCGGTGTAAAGCATCCATGAGTGAGGCATTCGTTAGTAGAAGATGGGATCAAAGAGAGATAAGCACCATGGTGTCCACTGTTGGTGGACCACATCGGGGTGGAGAAGCTATGCCGCGCTGCGCGGTCTGGCGGGGGCCACGGGAGGACTGAGGACAGCCAGGCTCTCCCAGAATCAGGATCACGATATGAGGTGATTGAACAATTGCACTCATCGAACTGCTTGGGGTTCTTGGCAAAGGACATCGCGGCGCCATAGTAGTCGGCGTACATGATCCTTACTGCATGGGTACTTGGCCCGGGCGCTGCAGAGTTCTTTGGAGCACCGCGTTGTGGTGCTTTACACGAAGTCGTTAGTATGTCTCGAGGCAGCCGGCGGCGTCGTAGTCATCTTTGTTCCGCCCGGGTGCGAGGTCGCACGCCGACGAGCACCCAATGGGCAGGTTTCAGCACCACCGGTGCGTGGCGCCCGCCTTGATCAGCCTCTCTGTTGTTGTGAGCAGAGTAGCAGCCCAAATTATTTAGTGCGAAATGCTGAGAGCGAGATCTGATAAACAATGGTGAGCGAGATTGGGTGACTGACCTCGGTGGCATCGATGATCCATGGCGGCGACCGTGGGAACGTAGGTTTTGGCGTTGTCCAAGGTCTTGCCCTTGAAGAAGGCGTAGTTGTAGTCGTTTCCCCAATCTCTCCGACGAGGAGCGGGGACTTCTTTGAAGTACTCCTTGCACTCTGTTGTCTCAATTCATTGAGCGAGAAAAAGACATTGCAATCAATGTTGCACTTGAATCTTAATCATTGAGAGAATCTCTTTTTCTTAGGACACTCAAAATCCCAAATGCAAAATCAGATTTGGAGTAATCGAGAAGGCATGCAATCTGAAGGAGCGGACTTTTGGGGAGCTGCAGTGACGGCTTGAGCTGCTCGAACCAGCCCGAAATGGACGCCGAGGAGAGGTTGGTCAGAGCTTGTCGGACGCGCCGATCTCCTAGAAGAAGGGCGGATCCATGGCGGTGGCGCCACCGACGGCGAAGTTGACACCCCGGCGGAGGTCCTTACCGCGGTACTACAGGTACGGCTGCAGCAGCGGCAGGCCGAACGCTTGCGCTGCACGAGTGGGCGGCGTGCAACGAGGAAGTCGCGTCAGAAACCCGTGGCAACCGCCTATGCGCGTCCGTGCGGCCATGCCGCAAAGCTGGGGTGCCACCAGTCCTACCGCCTGCTGTGCTCCCCTGCAGCGGGGCTGCACCAAGGTGAGGTGCCGGGGAGGGGGAGACCGACGCAGGGGAGGTCGAAGAGGCCGTGGCAGGAGGCGACGGCGAGGAGGGCGACTACGGCGGTGATAGGGTCGTGGAGCTCATCGGGGCTAGGGTTGCAGGGGGAAGGAGGGAGGAGCAGAGGAGGGGGAGGCCGACGGGGGAGGGACCGGTGCCGGCGGCGAGGTGGAGCACGTCTGGCTAGGGTTGGAGGTGGCGGGTTCGGGTGTTGTGCGACTGAGAAAAGGAGATGGGGATGGGATAAGAACCGGAGACGGGGACGGGATGGGAGCCGTGCCAAGCGTACAAATGTTCCTGGCCCCAGCAGCATCGCTTGCGTGCCAACCACTACGGTAATTAGGCACCGGCCATGCATGCCGACAATCATCGTCTCTAGCTACGCGCCACCGTCCATTTGCATGTCGCGTACAATCACCAGAGACAGCTGCTTCATCTATCCACTGCGGAATACATGGATGAAGGCCGGTTGTGACGCGCCTCATCTATACCGTGGAATTTCAATCTAACGCACCAGATAAAAAGAACTTACGTGGACATCCTAGAAGGCCGCCGATTCGGCGTGCCTTCATATCTTTAATATATGTTGATGTCCGTTGCAATATGGCAGGAGTCAAAAAAATTTCACCGATTAATTGGGGGAAAGGTGAATGGATATTTGGAGGGAACAATTTTTCACCAATTATAAATATTATTAGGAGGAAATGATGCGCTCAGTGTGAAAAAAACAATAGACAAGGCCCATAATATTTCTACTAGAAATTATGTGAAAATAATATAAACAAGGTCCATAACATTCCTACTAGAAATTATAATATTTAATACCCATGTTATTTTAATGTGTGTTTATTGGAAAAAATATTTTTGTTATTTTTAGATGATGAATAAAATTCGACTTCAGATCTCTTCGAATAAGCAAGTGTTTCAAATGTTTCGGACGTATGTTGCAAATATTTTATCTGGATATTTCAAAATTAGATCTTGGTGATGCAAATGTTGCAATGGCTATAACGCATGTTTCAAGCGCGTGTTTCATTTATTTCAGACGTATGTTGCAAATGTTTTATCTTGATGTTTTAAAATATATATTTGGTGTTGCTCTCCCTCCCCTCCCCTTCCTTCCCTCTATCTCGTCGTGGCATTTCAAGCTCAGCAGGGAACCCTACCCGATAAGCGTGTGGACGTCAGCCAGGCATGGCGGACGGACAGGCATAGTGGGCAGGGTAGCTGCTGCAGCGTGCGTAGCAGGCAGGGCAGGCGCGGGCATCTGGACGAGGGCTATCTTCTAGATGTCTAAGCGTTAGCCACGACGTTCCAAATAAGTGCACATCTAGCACTACGAAGAGTCGAACAAACTTAGGTTTGATCAAAATCTATATGAAAAATGCTAAGATTTATTACATCAATTAGTTATCATTAGATTATTAATTGTATTATACTCCCTTCATCCCAAATTATAAATCGTTCTAAGAATCTTAGATAGTCAAAGTATCTTAAGTTTGACTAAATTTATAGAAAGAATTATAAAGATTTATATATCAAATAGATATACTATGAAAATATAATTAATGAAGAACCTAATGATACTTAGTGGGTATCATAAATATTATTATCTTATCTTTTAAATTTGATCAAAGTTAAGATGCTTTGACTCTTCCGATATTCTTGGGATGACTTATAATTTAAGACGTAGGGAGTATATTTTTGTAGTAATTATATTTAGAGATACAAATGTATTGTTAATATTATTTTCTATAAAATCTAGTTAAAGTTAAAAAAATTCGACTCTTCAAAACGTGAGACAAACATTTATTTTGGTACTGAAGGAGCATGTCTACAGTCGCGCATACCGGACCACCCGTTCGCATCCAACGGCACCGCCCGTTTGCGTCCAACGGCACGCGGCGACTCGTCCCATCGAAGCCCCACCGCCAGACTACTAGAGCATACGCATCTCCCCATGGGCGTCGACTCCGCCGGCGACTCGTCCTTTTCATCCGCCGCCTCCATCCTCGTCGATCGACCCTGAGGTGCCGTTATCTGCGAGGTCGCGCGTCCGTCTTCCTCGCCCCTCGTCACCTCGACGCTCAGGCGGCGGCGTGCCAGGTGCTGCCGCTCCCCAGGTAGGTGCTTTTGGGGAGAGTTCCCTGCCTTGGTCGCCGCCAGCGCGGCCGCCGGCTATTCACTTCTTCAGTCCCTCGTCTCCCCCGAAATTTCCTTGCACCATACCCGAGGCTGCAAGCATGGTTCGATCGCCTGCGGAGGAGGAGGGGAAGGATGCCGGCACGGGCTCCGGCAGCTGGCCACGCAGCCGCCGCTACGCCGTGGGGGATGAGGTCGAGGTCCTCTTCACCGGACCGGGCTTCCGCGGCGCGCGCTTCGAGGCCACCGTTACCGCGCGCCTCCCGGGCTCCGGTCGCTACAAGGTACTCTACTCCCGAACTTTTCGTCCGCTGCGGCGGCCCCCCGCTGCGGGAGGTCGTGGCAGCCTCCGATGTACGGCCGAGACCGCCGCCGCCGCCGCCGGGGCGCGAGTTGGAGCTGTTCGATCTCGTCGAGGCGTACCACAGCGACGGATGGTGGCCGGGCCTCGTGTCCGACATCCAGCCCAAGCGGAGGCGGAACCAGGAGACACAGTTCGCCGTGTCCCTCCCGCTGTTCCGCGAGGTAGTGGTGCTCTCGGCCTCGTTTGTGCGGCCCAGCCGGGAGTTCGTGTACAGAAGCTCGATCGACGCGCAGGAAGTGGTGAGCAAATAGCAGCCTGCTTTGCTCTATCGCATAGAAACTTCCTTTTGATTTAGCACTCCAGGTGCAGGCGTGCAGCAATTTTGCACTAGCTTCACAGGAAATAGTTCAATTCCTGCTTAGCCCACTATCCAAAAAGGGACTTAGGATTTTTAAGTTTCCATCGATCTATTATATTTATTAAGAAACATAATGTACTCTGCTCTGTTTTCAGGATTAATTTTATTGCACATCAAACTTATCTACTATTTCATCAAATGAAAGCACATAACTATTTTGCAAAAAAACTGTTTCTGTACTGCATGCACAGGAGTTTGTTCTTGCATTTCTTAGACCTAATCTTGCTCCATTGCTTTAGTGTGTTTATTTAATGTCATGCTGATTAGCTGATGCAAACAGGTAGCCAATAGCCTCTTAGGAAAGTTTTACATGCATTGATCACGAACTATCTGCCGTTGGGATGCTTAACCGTGCAAGCCAAACAGTACCTGGAATGGAAAGACTAGTGACACCATAGGTTTATTTGTTTACTAAATATCCATTTGAGAATAAGGTGGCTTCATTTATACATCTTTACAACCGAGTCACTTGAACACCTATTCACTAAATCATGGCAAGTTATGGATTGTAACTAGGCGATCATGTTTACTCCTCAAACTGCCCAGTAGCCATTTAGCTTAGTTTATACTGTATGGTTATCTAAGCCACCAAGTTCACGTTCTAAGAGAGCATTTGCACTGAAGCTTAAAGAGCACCATGGCATTTTTAGTTTGCCAAATAAATTATCTTGCGGTTTTGGTTAACCTAGCTTTGTTGAAAACAGATTGACTGCTTCTTTTCACTATTTTGAATTCAGCTGCGAGGGATACCACAATATGCAGAAGGAAGCCGCATAGAAGTGATGTGTGATAAACAGGGCAGAGTTTGGAGGCCGGCTATTATTAAGAAGATGGTCGGCAGTACCAACTATGTTGTTAGCTACGGAAATGGGGAGAGCTCCATTGAGGTCCTCCACACAAGGTTCACTTGGCTAGAACCCATCTCTGACAAAATGAAGTTGGAGTATGAATTGAAGCCCTCGGCAGAGGTGGAAGTATATCATTGTTAGATATATATATATGGTGTATAGCATATTTTCCTCTTTGTATAAGGGCTTAGATGCATATATGTTCAACTCATGTACATGTTTGGGCTGTTGCCCCAGGAATAGAGTGAGCTTCATTCCTTCTAACATGGTACCAGAGCCTAGGGTCTAGGGTTTACCTCGCTCCCTCGCGCGCTCTTCCCGTTGTGCTTGCCTGGAGCTCCGTCGCCTGTCGGCTCTCTCCCTCGCGTGCTCTTCTGTTTGCGCCCATAGCTAGGCGTGGCCCCGCCGTCGCAAGACTCCATGGCCGGGCGCGATCCCACCATCATGCACGCTGCGGCGGCGTGCGTGCCCCGCCGTCGAACTTCCTCCGTTCCTTGTGGCGCCTTGCTCCGCTCTTTCCCGCTGCTGCGCTTGATTCTCTCCTGCGCGCTCATCTCGCGCAGCTCGCGCGCCTCTCGCATCCTCTTGTTACAGTACGTCTCGCCGGACGCGTGCGAGGGGCGCTGGCTGCCACGGTGGTATGTCTACGCCGACGGTTGCTGCTGCTGCGCCTGCGCCGCGATGTCGAGATCCACGCCGCCAACAAGCTCGCCAGCAAGCACCAGCGCCTCCCGCCGAGGCGCTCTCCGCTGAGCTCCAGGCCGCGGCGCGTCGCCAGAGAAAGCGGCTTTCATCTTTGCGTGGAGGACCGGGCGCTCTTCGCCGGGATCGCGACGAGCCCATCCACCCCGGGCACGCTCTCCGGGAACCACCGGCGCTACTCGGCCATCGGCATCGCGTCGGCCGCCTCGCCTCCTCCTCTCTCTCTCGCTCACTGCTCTACTCTGCTAAATCCACCTATGCTGCTCTGCTCTGCTCTGCTCTGCCGTCCATTCGGCTGCTGCTGTTTTTCTGCTTTTCTGGAGAAAGAAAGATGGCATCTCCTCCTGTTCCTCCCTCTAGAGGCGCGCAAATCCCGCGTTGTCCAGTGATTTTCGATGGCACCAATTATCATGACTGGGTTCCACATATGCGGTGGCATATGCGTGGTCTCCAACTCTAGGAGTTTCTTAGTGGTGAGCTACCTTGTCCAGCATTGCTTGATCGTCCAGTGCAGCCGGTGATTCCTCTAGAAAATTCTAAAGAGGAATAAAAGAAGTTGCGCGAAGCTTATGATGATGATATGGCCTCTTACATGTCTCATTTTCGGGCTTATCGGACTTGGTTGGATGAAGATGCTCGTGCTGGGGCTGTTCTTGTTGCTAGTATGGAAAAGCATCTGGCAGGAGAGGTTATTCGGCTTGATCATGCTGCTCAGATGTGGGCTGTTCTTCGTCAGCGCTATGAGCCCTCTGGTCAGTCCACTTATATTGCCGCCCTACGTCAAGAACAACTGTTGTAGCAGGGTGACAGTTCAGTTGAGGATTTCTTTCGACAGCTATCTGCAATATGGCGTGAGCTTGGCACTCTTAGTCCCCAGTTGTCCCCGGACACTTGTGACTCCTGCAGGAAGCAACAGAGCCACCTCGAGCTTCGTCGCACCTATGACTTCCTGACTCGTCTGCGTGCTGAGTTTGAGCCCCTTCGTGCTCAATTACTTGCTCGTGAGCCGTGCGTGTCTTTGATGGAGGCTCTTGCTGCTGTTCGTAATGAGGAGACTCGCCTTCATTCTGCTAGTCTACTTCAGTCGACGTCCTCCTCAGTCCTGGCTGCTCGGTCTGGAATTCTTGGTTCTCCTCCCAAAGTGCCTGCTTCAGCAGCCTCTGGTGGCTCGGGGACTCGCAACTCAGGTGGCCTTCATTGTAAGCACTGTGGCAGAGATGGACATGATGAGGATCATTGTTACAAGAAGAAGAGGCAGGCTCAGTCTCAGTCTCGCCGAGGTGGGCGTTCCTCACATGCTCAGTCTCAGCATCCTGATGCACAGCAGGAGATACTCATGTTACTTCGTCGCCTTGCTGTTCCTCCACCTACTGGAGCCTCTGGTTCTGTCACTACTAGAGCTGCTGGTTCTGTCACTCCTGCCCCAGTACTCTCTGCTGCTACTTCTCAGTCTTTTATTGAGAGACCACCATCCACTTCAGGTATCTTGCCATGGATTCTTGATTCTGGTGCTTCTTTTCATATGACACCTGATAGTACCTCTCTTTCTTCTATTTGCTCTCCTTCCATTCCTCTCACTGTTCAAACTGTTGATGGCTCATCTCTTTCGGTTGTTGGTCTTGGCACTCTTTCTTCTTCTTCATTTCATGTTCCTAATGTTTCTTATGTTCCTGATTTGACCATGCAAATTATTTCTGCTGGCCAGCTCACTGATCATGGTTGCCGTGTTATTTTTTATTCTGACACTTGCTGTGTACAGGATCTCAGCATGGGTCTCCTAGTTGGTACTGGCCCTCGCCGCCATGATTCTCCGCATCTCTGGGAACTTGGTTGGCTTCGTCTTCCTTCCGCTGCCTCTGTCGGTCTTGTGAGCTCTGCTTCTCCTGCATCGGCTTCTTCCTCTTTTGCTCAGTGGCATCATCGCCTGGGACATCTATGTGGTTCCCGCTTATCCACTCTTGTTCGTCGTGGTGTTCTAGGAAATGTCTCTGGTGATGTTTCTTTAGATCAGTGTCAGGGTTGTAAGCTTGGCAAATAGATCTAGCTTCCATATCCCTCTAGTAGGTCTGTGTCACAGCGTCCTTTTGATCTTGTTCATTCAGATGTATGGGGTCCTGCACCTTTTGTTTCAAAAGGGGGTCATCAATATTATGTCATATTTATCGATGATTTCTCTCGCTTCACATGGGTGTATTTCATGAAACATCGTAATGAGGTGTTATCCATATATAAAACTTTTGCTCGGATGATTCGCACTCATTTTGATGCTCCTATTCGTGTTTTTCGGGCTGACTCTGTCGGGGAATATCTTTCGGGTGCTCTTCGCCAATTTCTTTCTGAGCAAGGGACTCTCTCACAATTTTCTTGTCCTGGTGCGCATGCTCAGAATGGTGTTGCTGAGCGTAAACATCGTCACCTTCTTGAAACTGCTCGCGCTCTTATGATTGCTTCCTCGGTCCCACCTTATTTCTGGGCTGAAGCAATCTCCACTACCAGCTATTTAACCAACATTCAACCCTCATCTGCTCTTAAAGGTGGCATCCCATATGAGCGCCTTTTTGGACATCCACCTGATTACTCTATTCTTCGCCTTTTTGGATGTCTGTGCTATGTTCTTCTTGCTCCTCGTGAACACACTAAACTCACACATCAATCTGTTGAGTGTGTTTTCTTAGGCTATAGTGCTGAGCACAAGGGCTATCGCTGTTGGGACCCGACTGCTCGTCGTATGCGGATCTCTCGGGACGTTACTTTTGATGAGTCTCATTCCTTCTATCCTCGGCCCTCCTCTGATGTTTCTCCTCAGGCCGTTGTTGAGCCTCTGTCCTTCTTGACTTTTCCTGATACACCTATCTCCACTGTGCTTCTTTATCCGTCACCATCTCCACCTCCTAAACCATCTTCACCTCCTCCACCTTCTCCTCCGCTGCCCTCTGAGTCGTCTTCACATGCTCCTCGGTCCATTTATGATTCCAAACCTCCCGTGATTCACACCTACAGTCGTCGGCTCCTAGATTCCTCGCCTCCTGTTGAGTTGCCTTCTGATGTCTCCTCTCCTGTTGAGCCATCTTCGGTTGACGATACTTTATCTCAGCCCTCCTCTCATTATAATCTTCGCAATTGTAGCTCGCTGAAGCCTCTTGATAGGTATGGTTTTGCTGGCACTGTCTTTTTTGAGCCGGCCACATACCATGATGCCATTTGTCATCCTGAATGGCAACTAGCCATGGCTGAGGAGATTGCTGCTCTTGAGCGCACTGGCACTTGGGACCTTGTCCCTCTTCCTTCTCATGCTCGTCCCATCACGTGCAAGCGGGTTTATAAGACCAAGACTCGCTCTGATGGCTCTGTCGAGCATTATAAGGCTAGTCTTGTTGCTCGTGGTTTTCAGCAAGAGTATGGTCGTGATTATGATGAGACATTTGCTCCTGTGGCTCACATGACCACTGTTCGCACTCTCCTTGCTGTGGCCTCTATTCGTGCTTGGTCCATTTCTCAACTTGATGTCAAAAATGCCTTCCTTAATGGTGAACTCCGTGAGGAGGTCTACATGCGACCACCTCCTGGGTATCTTGTTCTAGAGGGCATGGTTTGTCGTCTTCATCGCTCTCTTTATGTTCTGAAACAAGCTCCTCGTGCTTGGTTTCAGCGCTTTGCCTCTGTGATCATTGCTGCTGGTTTTTCTCCAAGCAATCAGGACCCTGCCTTGTTTATTCACACATCCCCTCGTGGTCGCACTCTTCTTCTTCTTTATGTTGATGATATGATTATCACTGGTGATGATTCTGAGTATATTGCCTTTGTCAAGGCACGCCTCAGCGAGCAGTTTCTTATGTCTGATCTTGGTCCTCTTCGTTATTTCCTTGGGATTGAGGTCTCTTCCACCTCTGATGGAATTTACTTATCCCAAGAAAAATACATTCAGGATCTTCTTGCTCGCTCTTGCCTCACTGATCATCGCACTGTTGAGACTCCCATCGAGCTTAATCTTTAGCTCCGTGCTACTGATGGTAAACCTCTCACTGATCCCACTCGGTATCGTCGTATTGTTGGGAGTCTTGTCTATCTAGCTATGACCCGTCCTGATATCTCATGTGCTGTGCACATTCTTAGTCAATTTATTTCTTCTCCCACCCATGTCCATTATAGCCATCTTCTTCGTGTCTTGCGTTATCTTCGTGGGACCATTACTCGTCGTTTGTTCTTCCCGCGTTCTAGCTCTTTTCAACTGCAAGCCTACTCTGATGCTACTTGGGCTAGTGACTCTGATCATCACTCTCTTTCTGCCTATTGTATTTTTCTTGGTGGCTCTCTCATTGCTTGGAAGACAAAGAAGCATACCGCGGTCTCTCGTTCAAGTGCAGAGGCCGAGTTGCGAGCTATAGCTCTTGCGACAGCAGAGGTTACTTGGCTTCGATGGTTACTTGAGGATTTCGGTGTTTCAGTTTCTATGACCACTCCTCTTCTGTCTGACAGTACCAGTGCTATCAATATAGCTCGTGATCCTGTGAAGCATGAGCTCACCAAGCATATTGGAGTTGATGCATATTACACTCGGGCTCAGGTGCAGGATGATGTCATTGCTCTTCGCTATGTGCCCTCCGAGCTCCAGGTGGCTGATTTCTTCACCAAGTCGTAGACGCGAGTTCAACATCGTTTCTTTCTCTCCAAACTCAGTGTTTGTGATTCACCCTGAGTTTGAGGGGGGGTGTTAGATATATATGGTGTATAGCATATTTTCCTCTTTGTATAAGGGTTTAGATGCATATATGCCCAACTCATGTACATGTTTGGGCTGTTGCCCCCAGGAATAGAGTGAGCTTCATTCCTTCTAACAATCATGATGGCATCTGGTCACTAGGTGTCATTGCAGATGTTGGCAGCTGTGAACCTAGAAGATATAGAGTAAAGGTCAAAGAGCATAGCAACGCATATGGAAATGACTACATGATTGTGTCAAGTGCGTCCTTGAGACCCAAGGCCAAATGGGACAGTCCGGAATGGAGGATACGTTCTACCAAGGTGTTTCACCAGTTAATCATTGTGTATCCATGATCTTACCCACGTCTTGAGTCTACTTCTAAGTTGTTGTTTCTATTGCTTCGCATGATTGCAAGTTTACGATATCTTTTCAAATGATGGTTATATTTATCCCAATTCTTTGTACTAATATCCCCTTTTTGTTTACTAGAAACATACCAGGAAAAGAAATTATTCAGATTCTGATTCTGACTATTCATCAGATTCTGGCTATTCACCAGAGTTCTCCACACCTGGTGGAAACAGTGATCTGTATAGTTCAATCCCTAACAAAAGGGTGAGGAAAGAAAATGCTCAAATGGAAGAGGTGCACTTGAGGCACTCTTTAAATCTCAGGCAAGATACAGGCAGCTCATCATTAAAGCATGTTATGGATATGGAAATACCTTCTGAAAAGCATGTCTCTAGGGTGAAGAAACTAGAGAGAGAACGGGTGGGTTTAGGGTTTGGGGTTGTAAAGGGGGAAGAGCAAATACTGGAAGCCAATGCAGTGAAGTTAATCTGTACACCGTGCGATGGAAAAGGGAGGCACTCCTTGCCAAAGGTACACACTGTCTTGTTTTGAATCCTTTCTTCTTTCTAGCACCAAAATTTGAAAGTATTACTCACTTCACCAGCATTCAAAAGTGTGGGAAGTTAGTTTAGCACAAGGTTGGTGCATTTCTCAGATAGCTTTCTTCTGTATCATTCATTCTTTTAGCTTCAGTACCTTCCAACTGTTATCATGCAGACAGGCGCCTTTTTGGTCACTGATTCTTCCTCAGTACTGATTCAGATTCCCTGCTGTTTTCATCTGGTCATGTAATCTAGGCACTTGCTAGTAAGAGAAAGGACCTTTCTGTTTCTTCACTGGATGATGTTATTGAAATTGGTAGCAAGTACAACTTTGGTGATGCTGTTGTGATCAGTGATGACTCTAGCCATGGAAGTTTTATTGAAATCAGCGACGATTCTAGTTGTAACCCAATCAAAATGCAAAGTGGAGGCGAAAACCAGGAAATGTGCCCAAAAATTACAGAGGTAGCAGCTCTTCTAGCGTTTCTCTTTTCTCCTTTTTCCTCCCTTTGAGATATACATATATGATATATCCTTCTTGATTGTCTAGCATTACAATATATCTGAATACCGATGCAGGTGAACAGTTGGGTGGCTGGTACTTCCATTGAAGGAGCAGGTACTGGTTTGACTAACCCTAGAATTTGTAAGTTCTTGTTACAAGCATAAGCTTGAGTTACACTAGTAAAGCCTGTCTAATCAGTTGCAAATATTATCAGCCAATGAGAAGACTGTCAACCAATCATATGGTGGAGCCTTCCCAATTGGGAAACAAGAACTATCTTCGTCTAGACTTCAGGATATTGAAGGCAGTCTCTTGTGCATTGAAGCCCCTAATGATAACAAAGTAAATATTCTTTCTTTTGTCATATATCACAACTAGGGATGAAAACGGTCGGAAAACCTCTCAATCGTTTTCTACTTCTACATTTGAATACGAAAACGAAAACGAAACGAAAGCGGTAAAGCCGGACACGAAAACGAACACGAACTTACGGAATATCAAAAATTTCGAAAACGAACTAATTTGAGCGGAATTATGTCAAACACGGTCGGTATACGAAAAATCAATATGGAATATTGACCCATAGGACCAAGTGCATAACAATTAACAAGTACATAATAATTAACAAGTCCTACAACTTTCTTAAAAAAGTATCTCCATTCGACACGATGTAAGGAAGATATGATTTTTTAAGGCAACAAGCGCTTGTACGCGATTAATATATCGCTGACTTTGTTTAATTTTTTTTGAACATCTTCAAGACATCAAATGAAAAAAACTAAGAACTAGAAAGTTGTAAATCTCGTCGAGAGCTACAATTTTTATATAAAAATCATCTTGATCCGAGATCATATGAAAAAGATATAATTTTTCTAAGGTTGGACTTGTAGTGGGCCAAATTTGGTTTAAACCGAATTTCGAAACCGAATTTGAATTTGGGATATTCCGAATTAAAAGTAGAAAAGTAGAAAACGGTCAAAAAAAATGTCTAAACCGTTTTCGTTCCGATTTCGAATTTGGTGTTCCGAATTTCGAACCGAATTCGAATTTGTCCGAAAATACGAATTCGATCGGATTAAATGTAGAAAACGATGCGGTTCGGTACGGGATATTTCCGTACCGTTTTCATCCTTAATCACAACCATCTTATTCCAATTTTGTCCACCCAACCAATGGGAGAGGCGTGAAAGAGAACCTACAGCTGCCAGGCCATTTTCCTATGGCCTCTTTTTATTTTGTTTGAGCTTATTGAACTCAATGGAAATTGTTCGCTCTTTCTGATTATCTGTTGATGTTTCTATGTACAGATAGATACAGAAAACAAAAAAACAGGCATTTCACCTGAGGAGGCGGCAGCCTTCCTAATCGGAAAATTAGAACCACCTTCATCTGGACAAAAGGGTGTCAAGGCTGACCTCGTTTGTATTGAAGCCCGTAACGATAACAAAGTAAGTACTCCTCTCTGCCACAATCAGCTAATTGCCATTTGCATATAACCCTTTTGGTTTTCTTCTAGTTTATTGAATTCCATGTAATTTTTCAATCAGTCTGCATCTGTTGATGATTCTATCGGCAGGTGGAGATAAAAAACGAAAGAATGGGTATGTCTCTTGTGTCAGCAGAAGGTTTTCACCTGGAAACCTGTAGAAACTGTAAGTCTTGCAAAATCAGAATGGTAGTTTTTTTAGTGCATTGATACGCTGACTGACAGGACCAACTGTTTCCAGCAGCCAAGGATATTGCAATTGTATCATATACCGAATGCAATGCATCATCACAACAACCTTGGGGTCAACCTCTAGAACCTGTTTCCGAGAAATCATCAGGACCATCTTCATTGCTTCATCCTGGTCTGATGGTGGATACATCAGCATTCATGCCACTGGCAGTAACTAACAGCAGCAATTTTCTCCAGTGTTCTCTACAACTTCCTTGCTGCTGATGCCTAAAAACAAAATGGAGGTCTTTGAGAAGCTACCACAGAATCCACACTTCCGTAAGGCGTGGAATTGTCCTCCAGAACTTCGTGGAGGAAGAGCCATAGGACATATGGTCTCTTTTGCAGACATGGCCGAAAGCATCAAGAACATGCGAATTCAGGATGAACCTCGACTTTATGAAGAGAAGATGAGCATCCTATTGTATATGGAGGAAGAGAACGGGTTTGAAGCTGGCCCCCTGAAGGTCCGCCTCCATAACCTGCTTTGTACAAGGACTTGCCAGATTAATCTCAAGAGCAGGAAAGTAAGATTAGAGAAGGAGATATTTGAGATGGAAGCAATAAACTGTGGATTAGAGCAGTGACTCAAGGTGCTTGACATGTGCGTCATGGGGATGGAAGAGATGAAAGCTTCAATTGACATGCAAAAAACAGAAAATTGCTTATCTATTTCAAAGCTCCAAGTCGATTTGTGTCAAGTTGAGGAGTCACTCAAGTATGTTGAAGCCGTTTTTTGTAGCATTGCTACTGCACCGTGGCAATCAGACGCTGCACCTTGCTACAGTATCTTGCTCCGCTATTATGGGAGGTAAACCTTCTCGTGTACACTTGATATGTTTATGTATAGTATGTCTGCTTTCTTCATGGATCTGAGAGAAAATGATCTTCTCAGTTATGTCTATTTTGAGTATGCAGTCTGCCCCACCTATGATCTTAGGATATGTGTATTTTGAGTCGTAATGCTCATTGCTCTCTTGAGTTGTAGCTCATAGGCAATGTTGCAATTTGTGAAGTTGAACATCCTACGTGATATTTTCAGCAATTAGAAGACATGTTATTAATTTAATTTTTTTTATCGAACATGATATATAATAATAAGATAGGAGTCGAAGAAGACTCGTACAAGCCCATTAGGACATGGTTTTACACGAGTGACTAGCCAGGAAACAATAAACTTCGTCTAGCGACCTAAACATCATACTACGGCCAGCTATGTGCCTATGTCTAAGACCTCTTGAATTTAAAGGTTTTTCTTATTTTTTCAATAAACAGAGGTGAGCTTGGTTTTAACATGTAGGAAGATCACATCGAAACTGCACCACTCAAAACTATAAAATCCTCTAAATTGGTAGGCGTATCAAGTAGTATATGTGTGGCCTTTAGAGTTAATAAGTGATCGGTGCAAGTGCAACAGAGGTCGATCGGTAGCTGATCTTGCTAGCATTTCTCGTCGGCGGCCATCGCGGACTGCGGCTGCTCCGCCTGGCTACTGGCCGGTGCCGTTGCCCACATGGCGCAGACGAGGTAGGCGACGAGATTGACAACGCTGAGCACGGCCAGCAGCCAGTAGAAGTAGTCGAGGCGGCTGTGGTTGATTGTGTCACCGAGCCACTGCGTGCAGCTCTTGACGAGCGAGACGAGCGCGCTGCTGAGGAAGAAGCCGAGCGAAAGCGTGGTGAGGAAGAGGCCCGTGCTCATGGTCTTCATGCTCTTGGGCGACCGCGTGATGAAGAAGTCCAGCTGCCCCGTGTAGATGAACGCCTCGCCGGCGCCAACCAGCAGGAACTGCGGCGTCAGCATGAAGACGCTGATGGGCAGCGACCCATGCCCTGCGCCGCCACTCGTGACAGCGACGGCGAGGCGCTTCTTCTCGCAGATTGCCGCGGCAGCCATGCCGATGATGGAGAGGACCAGGCCGATGCCGATCTTCTCCAGGTTTGTGAACCCCTGACGGCCGGTCACGAGGCTCCGGCAGAGCGGGACGAAGACGCGGTCGTAGAAGGCGAGGGTGAGCATGATAGCGCCGACGAAGAAGACGGTGAGCGAGGCGGCTGGGATCTCGAACCCGCCCATGCGCCGGTCCATGGTCGTCGCCTGCTCCACGGAGAAGGTGATCATCTGCGCGTAGATGGTCCAGAACAGGATGGTCGTCGCCCACACCGGCATCAGCCGCGCCACCATCTTAACCTCCTCCACGAGGGACACGGAGCACAGTTTCCACGGGTTGGGCGTCGGCCGCCCGTCGTGGCCCACCTCGTTGTCGCTGTCGCCGGCCATCACTGCCGCCCTGTCCAGGCACGGGAACTGGGCGGTGTGGGGGATGCGCGCGTGCTCGGGGCGGTCCTCGTAGAGCGCGGAGGCGGTGAGCGGCTGCTTGACGATGTTCTGCTTCCGGGCGGCAGCGACGAGGACCTGGAGGATGTGCACGATGGGGCTCCCGGAGCTGCGCTTGTAGCGGTACCGCCTGGTGCCTGACAGGAAGACGGCGATGGCGACGAGCATGGCGCCGGCGCAGATGCCATAGGCCCAGCTCCGGCCGACGTGGTCCTGGACGTAGACGAGGACGGTGACTGCGAGGAGCGTGCCGACGCTGATGAAGAAGAAGAAGCGGTTGAAGAAGAGGCCCATGGCGGCGCGCTCGCGTGCGTCGCGCTCGTCGAACTGGTCGGTGCCGAAGCCCGAGACGCTGGACTTGAGCCCGCCGGTGCCGAGCGCGATGAGGTAGAGGCACACGTACAGGACGCCCATCTGGAGCCCCGTGGCCTGCTCGCATGGCCCAGCCGCGCCGGGTCCACACGGCGGCGGCCGCAGCTGTCTCACCTCCGTGGACATTGCCAGCAGCCCCGTGCCCTGTCATGTGTGCGCACGTGCATGGATCATCTATCGTGCCATGCCAGAGCAGCAATCGAGTTTGCATTGCATGCATACAGGAGTACTTACGATGGCTTGTACGAGCGCGAAGATGGCGATGGTGAGGTATCGTCCGAGGAAGGAGTCAGCAAGGAATCCACCAAGGAGGCAGAGGAGGAAGGAGGTGCCCATGAAGTCGGTGACCACGTTGGCAGCTGCGGCGCTGGGCAGGTGCATGGTGCCCGTGAGGTAGGTGACCAGGTTGACGGCGATGCCCATGGTGGAGAGGCGCTCGCACAGCTCGATCCCGAGGGCGAGCGCCGCCACCACCCAGCCGCCCGTGCTGGACTTGTCCGCCCGGCAGCCCCTGTAGTCGACGGCGTCCTGCACTAGGTTGCCGCCGCCGCCATCGCTGGCGCCCCATGCTGCCCTCTCCTGCACCTTCTTCCCGTCCTAATCAAAGGCACGCAAGCACACAGAGCAACATGATGGTGTATCAGCCATCAGCAGATTCAGCATTGCATATATATGCACAGCTAGCTAAGCTTATTAGAAAATTAGCCTCACGAACCATTGGTTTGAACTTCTTGGACGAATTATATATATTAGCAAAACACAAGAAAACCGTGCTGTGCTGACTGCCGAGCGATCGAGCAGAAGAGAACACAACACAAGGCTAGCTTGTGTAGCTAGCTGGAGCGATCGAATGCTGATGAGATTGCTGGACGACCTGCAGATTGGTGCCTCCTTTTATAGGCACGGAGATCAGGAAACGCGCATACGACCGTCGACCAACCGATCAGCTGATCATGGAGAGGAGGAGATCAGCCGGGCGAAAGGGACCTGCACCATCTGACTGTATGCCCTGGATCTTTCGCCTCCCAAATTGTGGGGCAGTCTCGACCTCGATACAATAATTAATGTTATACATTGATAACGCTCAAGAAAGTCTGACGATGCTGGCTGGTGTTGGTGGTTGAATGAAGGTCAGAAGATGAGCAGCACTCGTGCTAGCTGCTCCTGAGACGTGGAAACTAAGAAAAGTGAGCAGCGAAGTTCCCCCTTCATCCAAGGGAATGTTCTGGGAGCTTCAAAAACAGCATCTGCCGTTTCATGCCTTAATGGGACCCGTCATGGCGACTAGTGGTCACAATAATGCAGATTGCTACTGTAGCTATCAGTGGAGGAACGGGAGATAAGCTTTACAGATAAATAAAGCTATAATAACGACTGCAAAATATGCATGTGTGTCAAGAGGGAGGAGGGAGGAAAAAGGAAACGATAACGGGGCTGATCTTGCCGATCTGTCCACCCTTTAATTTATCAACATGCAAGTTTTTTTCACATGCACTATTTGTAGGTCATATAAGTGATATTCATTTAGTACCTCAATGAGCTAGAAAAGCTATAGAGAAGCACATATAGGGAGAGTTCAACTAAATAAGAATACGCATTCGCCATTTCTCAGCCAAGGTTTTGATGAAGTATGCTTACCTGATTGTATACCTCCATCCCCAAAAACAATACAGTTCTGTCTATGTGATGATATATTAGCAAATAGTCATAAGCTTATTTGTCAAAAAGTTTTGAAATCTTGCAAACAGGAGAGCTTATTTATATTCTTTGGAAGTTTGAGAACACCACAAAAGCTACCATTGACAATATTCTCGAAAGGCACGCATCACGCATTCATGAGAATACACTGCCACTGTCGATAAGTTCACCTAGAATATGCAAGATTCTTGAAACAAACTAACGTTGGATAGGAGTTGTACAGAACTTGTAGTCCTACATTAACTGAAAATGTTGGAAGAAAACTCAACTAGAGAGGCACAAAGGAAAATTTCCACAAAGCCCAAAATTCCTATAGATCCATAATGCATCTCAAAGGAATCAAAAGGAGTTTCATAGGGTTTATTTTGTTCTAGAGGAGCATGTAGAAAAAAAAATTCCTGTAGGATTATTTTTTTTAATATAAACTAGCAGGACCTACTGTTTATTAAAAAAATAGGGCAAGTAACAAGGCCTAGGCCAAAGGGAAAATAAAATCAACACATCACACTACAAGGACGAGATGAAAAGGTATCAAATATCATAGGCCTATATGACTTGCAAGATCTCAGAAAGATGCTTCGCTCCTGCAGCACACCAGGTGCGAGCCTCCTTCTTGATTTTGGCAAGCAGTGAGGGAATTGATAGGTGTTGTTTTTGAAAATTCACGTGTTACGCTTCTTCCAGGTTTTTCATGTGACTAACAACAAAAGAGAGCGAAAGGCCTTTAGCTGAAAGCCTTGTTGATTGGCCATACCTCCATCCACCAATCCTTTACCGTGGAGTAGTGTTGCCATTGACTGCGCGATGACACGTGTTGGAAAAGCCATGCAAAGATGAGATCTCAAATCGGAATAGAGTATTGGCCATGAACAAATAAGTGAATAGTACTTTCAGCTGCATCTTTCCTGTAGGATTAGAATCCTCCAAAATTCCTTAGTTTTTCCATTGTTTGAAAGGTGGCCTGTTTTAGTTGTGTTGGATTCATCAGTTCATGACACATGTGATGCTCCTAGACCAATGCTTCTTCCTCTGCCTACCATTCGTCCACCTTTTTTTTTGCTGTAGACTAAAGAAAAAGCAGCCTCCTATTTCATCTCCTCCTCATGTTGGATCAATGCACCGCCCACTTTTTGCACAGGCTTGTTTTCCTCCTCACACCTGCAGGACCTGATCTGACCTTCCATTATTTGCTATTTTCTTTAGTGTGTAAACCTCCTGCAAATATGTACAGTACATGAATGGGCAGGCTGTTCCGATCCTCACGCGGAAAAGGATCGATGGAGCTGCATCTTTTTGTCCAAAAATTCAGAAAAAAGTAGGGTATCTACCTCCTACCCTGCTGATCGATGCTGACAACTTGTCAATTGCAAGCCTTCCAATCTAGACTCTAAATCCTACACATGTATAGTATCAAAATTAGCCTCCATTTATAGATTCCAAATGTTAGGCATGTACAGTAGGCAGATTCTGCTTTGATTGCTGTTGAGCAAATAAGCAGCTGTTGAAATACGGTACGCCTAGCGCTCAGACGTCCAGCGCCAGGACGCAT